GTTAAATTGCAAAAATGTCATCTCATATTGTTTAGTCCCATATAATTCGGAAGTTTATGACCAGTCAATAAAGCTCTTGCCATGATTTTCTCGTTTTTCTCTTCCTTTAAAGATTTATTAACGAAAGGATTTGCATAAATTTAACCAATCAAATTTTCTAAAGAATTCCAGAACGTTTATCATTTATAAATTAGGAAATACCAAATTTAGCATATTCTCTGATTGTATTATCATGATATTTCTCTCTTTTAATTATAATCGCTCTTAATTCCACACAATTAAATCCATTCAAAAATGAGAATGATATATTTGTAAAACTAATACTAATATATATATAACTTTTTTTTTTTTTATTTACATATATATAAGAATGGTTGAAGTTTTTTATGCAAACAAATTTCCTTTTTTGTATTTCTTTTGTAAAGATTGACAAGGTTTTTCATAATGAAATGAACACAGACTTTCCATCCAAACTTAACTTAATGTTAAAAAAAAAAAAAAATAATAATATATCAGTATAGTGATGTCACCAAAAAAATGATTTAGATTCGGAACCCTTTGTCTTATCATGATGATAAAAAAGAATTGAGAATAATCACCATGGTAAATACCCAACGTTACTCTACATATTGAATTTTTATATAAAATATCATGTATATTACAATTAATAAAATTATTAAAACTCTAGGTCCTCAAAAAAAATGTACTTTGAGCATATGCGTCGATTTTGTTTGAACCTCAAAATTCAGTATGGTATGATCATTATGTTATGAATACTTTATCTAGCAATAATCCATTAGTTTTGAGGTAATGCCATTGGTTTGACGGGCTATTGAATAGTAAAATAGTTTTTTTTGGCAGAGCAAATAATTTTTTCAGGGTTAATTATCACTCTACTGACCAGTCACACACACACACACAATAAGATATACATGTAATCTCATTAAGTCAGGTGCAACTATCAATTGTTTAAAATAAATAGATGACCAACCTATCGAGTTTACAAGTGTGTAGTAGGGTTTGAAAGAAGGGCCCAAAAAACAAATCGGCTGATATGGTAATTACATATTTCCAGCAATTTTTCCATTACTATCCTTGTCCAAAGTTGATGTATGATGTTAATATATTGGCTGGAATGTTTGCACTATATAAAAACAATCAATATATGTATAGGAATCAATCGACTAAAAATTTATTATTTAGTGATCAGCAAGTGTCGCAAGTATCTGATTTGATTGGCTAAATTAATTTCGTCAAAAGATCCTTGGAGATAAATATGAATTTCGTCAACCATTCTTAAGATGAGTTACATCCTAACAAAAAGGCACTTAATGGTTATTTTAAAAAATGAGATGAAAGACAAAATCTGATTTTTTAAAAACTTCTTCCCCCCCCCAAATTAACTGACAAATAGAATTGTTTCTTATAATTTATTTATTTGATTATTTAAAAAAAAATTAAAAATAAAGATTAATGAAATTTTAGTGTTTTTTTTTCGTTTCATCTTTTTTTTAAATTTATTATTAATTATTATACTTTTTAAAAGTTATCGGTAATGAGTCATTATTATCATTATGATTATGATTATTATTACTACTATTTTTAATGCCGTTTTTACTTTTGATAATTATTGGGAATGGATATTCGTCCTCATCATCGTTTGAGCTAGGAAACCCGAAGGCGTCACCTATTTCATTTGATAATTTTATTGAATTGTTACCATCATCGTCATTATTATCATCAACACCATTAAGACCATTAACTCCACGGATTCTAGGAGATCCAGGTGCAGATAAAGGTCTTGATACTTTGAATTTATATTGTTCCAAATTATTAATTTCAGCATCAACAAACGAATCAGGGTATACTCTATGCAACGCCAATTTTCTCGCTCTGACATAATCCATACCCATCAACTTCCAATCCAACAAATCTGATAATCTTTCCGTTCGATTACGTTGGTTTATACGTTGACGCCTTGTTTTCTGAGAAAACTGTAACATGTAATTAGCGAGTTGTTGAATAGATTCTTCGACGGATTTCATTCTCCTGTCAACAATATAAATACCATAATCTGACGAATTTTCCAATATGTCATCCATAAAACATCCAAAACCAGATAAATTTGTTGTTATGGATGGTAATCCCATAACAGTGCATTCTGCCGGAGTGTAACCCCATGGCTCATAATAACTTGGAAACACACCTAAATGACATCCGCGTACAAAATCTTCATAGTCTAATCCAATCAATGGACTACTTGAATTCAGAAATTCGGGATGAAATATGATTTTTACGCGATCGTCTTTATTATTAAATAGTTCTAGACGGCGTAATTGCATTAAGATTGGGTCTGCGCCATCATCGGCCATATTATGTGTTACTATAGGTGGAAGAGTGCTACGTCTGAGTGCTATAACACGACGTTTTAATAATACTTTGTCTTCAGTAGTTAATAATTCCGTAGGATCAATAACTGCATCGTTAATATCACCACTAACAATTTTTAAAAAAATAATTAATTCGAAACTTTAATAATAATTAATAATATAATAATAAAAAGAAGAAGAAAAATACTTTACCCAGCATATCTTGCAGCTTTCTCGAATATTCTTTGGCCAATTCTATCAGTAATATCATTTACAGTTTCCTGTAATTGTTTAATGACAGCTTGACCTTTTAAAGCTTCAACAGCAAAAGAAGTTGTTGCAGCTGGCATGATAACAAAAGCAACAACAGTCGTTGAAGAATTACATGCTTTTAATTTTTGATTAAGACCTAGTAGTAAATAAAAAAAAAAAGAAGAAAAGATAAGTGTGGTGCTAATAATGGTGATAATGAATGAAAAAAAAAAAAAATAAATAAAATACTGACGTGCTAATGATTCAATAAACATGTCAACACCTTTATTTCTATATTCATAGCGCCCTGCAGTAAAGAAATATAAAGTATTATCTAAATCAAAATCATAATGTCCATAAAAATGACCTCTGACGAATTTATGAATTTTTTCTTTATTTATTGAATGTAGATTTTGAAATTCGTGCACTGCAGAAAACTTTACAACATTTAAACCATTTGGTAGAACCCCATCTATAATTAAATGAATTAAATAAATAAATCATTAAACTTGATATTTCAAAACTTTTTTTTTTTTTTACAGAAAAGGCCGTACCTGGTTTTCGTTTTAATAAATGTTCAGCCTCGTAAGAAGTAATTTGACTGACAGTCGTAAAAACGTCAGCACAATGAGTTGCAGCACGTTCAATGCAATAACGATGATAAATTCCACGTTTTCCGGCCTCTTTATCCACCGAGAAATTTTGTATATTATTATAGAAATCAACTTCACCAGCACATAAATATCTACCCAATAATGTTGCATGCGTTGTGAATACTGTTGCCAAGTCTGTTCTACGTTTACGCATCAATGGAATGGCAATACCAGATAACCATTCATGAAAATGTGCAATAACTGATTTGCTTCTTTCGCGGGCGACAAACTAAAAATAATAATTGATTTTGATTGTTGGAAAAACATTCATTGCAATAAATATAATTAATAGGATCAGATTAATCAAATAAATCAATATTACATCGCCTAAGAACCAAGCTACCAAATAACCAAATAATACGGCATCATTTGTTTCTTGATCATTTGGTGGCGAAGGAATCCCGGTAGCATTCCATAAATCAGCTTTCCATTCATCAAGTTTAGCAGATATTGAATTTATATCAAATAATAATACATGAGGATTGCCCTCAATCAACCATCTACCATAGGTCCATCTTATTCCTTGTTTTGACATCTCGGCAAGAGTTTCTTTAAAGTGAGGATTGGTAACTTCTTCTATTTCGACTTCTGCTGCAACTGCTTTATCCAATAGTGGACCAATAAGTGTGTACCTATCGCCATATTCGTGAACTGTCACAGGAGCTTTGGATTTTATCACTGTATATATCCCTCCGACTGAATTGATGGATTTTAATGGTAAAAAAATAGATATTTATAAATATTATATATCAATTTTCAGAATTTTCATAAAATTACAAACCTTTGTTTACGACTTCCCAAGCTATTTCAAATAAAATTGGACTGCGGATGTCACGATACGCCACCATCTTTAATTATTATTATTACTATTGTTGTTGCTATTGAAGTTTCAAAAATACAAATTTTTCAGAAATGAAAAAATGGAGAAAATTAGTTATTTAATAAAAAATTATTTATAATAATAATGATAATTGATAATAATCGCGTGTTATTGTCCATTCATATATTTGGAAGATCGAAAAAAAAATATAAAATATTCTGATGTACACATGTTTTTTTCTGAAAAAACATAAATTTCTACAATCGATCAATTCTCAATCGCCTCAATTAAAATCTTTTAAAAAATAGTTTATAGATTATCTTTTACAGATCTTGCTTAATTATGGAGTTCATATAGAAACATTTATAATGAAACTATGAAAGAAAATTTTAAATCACATACATGCAATTAACTAATTCCATTAATTCATTCACCCCACCATTAATTATTTAACACAAAAAACGTGTTTTCAAAAAAACCAGAAAAAGTATAAATATACGCACGAACTTGAGCTATTTATTTAATATAATAATTATGAAGTAATAACTATGATAATATTAATTATGCCAATATCAAAATTTTGAACACATTAATTTGTGTCACCGAACACATTAGTTATTTATTATTATTATTATTATTATTATTATTATTATCCTTTAAATTTGCCTCGAAAATTCATTATATAGGGCCGACGAAACTTTGACTGTGCTAATTTGTTATCAAAATGCAAAATTTATTAGACAAACAAAGTGAATGAGGTCATAAATGTTTTATATTAACATTGCTATAAATTACAAGTAATGGAATAAATTTGAGGAACTAATAATAATATCTTTGGTGTTTGTATCGATTATTCTTTTAACCAGTCTTTCTGAATTATTGCACTAATTTTCAGTGCCTGTAACTTGTGGAACTGCAAAATATCAATTCAAGGTCCGAGATCTGAGAAAAGAGCAGGCGGATGGATTGCTTGATATTCAGTTCCAGCCACTGTGATTGCATATCTTCTCTGAGAACCTGCGTTGATAAAGAATTTTAGATAGCAAACTTATTGTTATCGATGTATTGAACTGCTGAGATATATCAACAACTGTATTTTTATTTAAATATAAGTAAGTCCAAGGCCGGTTGAACCAAGTACTTTGACATCTATAAGTTTAACTTTTTCCACCAATAAAACTTGCTGTCATAGATGTTAGGAATCTAAGTTGCAGAAATTAGTTGATTTAATAAATTAATCTAAAATTATAAATTATGCTTGCTACGATAATGGCAACACCGTTACCATATATTTTAAACACGGCACCAAAGCTAGCACGATCTTGAAATTTTCTTTTTGATTTTCTTTGACTAGACTGTATATATGAGAGTTGAATTGACTCGACTGTGTGCCTTTATCCACGAGTTTACTTTCTAACTTTGCTGTTTTATCTCTTAGTTTATGCTTTTGACTATTATTTCATTTCACGGTTGTTTCCGGGGCCCTTTCCGAATCCTTTTTCTCTTTTGCAATTTTAAATTCACATTTTGTCTTGTATAATTGCTCTCGTTGCTTTACCAACCACTATACTACGATAATTGGAAATCAGTTCTTCCAAACTATCATTTTCCTTTTTTATCCTATTGGGCTTTTTTCTTCTCAGTAATTAGTTGCTGACAAGACAATGAAATATTCTAGAGATAATCTACACTGGTATCATTTAAAAACCGTTAAAAGTTCACATGCTTTGCTTAAAAGTAAAACTTGATGTTTAACTTTATTTTAAAACAAATAGTTTAAAGAACTTCTTTCTTTATACATGTTTGAATAACTGGACAATTTAAAATGTAGCTTTCTAAATATAGAAGTCGTTGTAATTTAGATAACTATTAAATATAGTAGTGATTTTTCCACTTGATTACAAAATGATAGGTAGCTTAAAGACTGGTTTTTCTATTACAAGTTGAGAGTATTGACACTCGTATCGGGGTTTTTATACAATACAATGATGACCGGCGTATTAAAGTGTGGATGAATTGGAATTTTAAGTGTGCTCGATAATATAAATAAATGTCCTACTCATCAAGTTTGCCAGAATTTATGAAATTAAGAGTTGAATTTAAGTTTTATCATAATGATAATAATATCAATATTTTATTTTAATAAATATAATAATATATTCGTATTCAAAAAGAAAAGCTTATAACATGACATGACATGACAGTTACCTAATTCGCTAATGATTTATATAAAAAAAGAGTATATGGTATAAAATTCGGTGGGCCATAGAATACAATCTGCAAGAGTTTATATCATACTGAAATCTCTCTCTACCGCATAAAAAAACTGTAATTACACTAAATTTTAATCCCTGAAATCTAATGTTGGTATGTCCTAAATTAAAGATGCACCAATGTGTATAGTAATAGAGAAATATGAATTAAATGTATAAAAAAATTTTTATTCCTTACTAAAAATATATCGGAAAATTGTAGACAAAAACGTGCAAGATGTAAACATTGTAATAATGAATTATATGAATCAAGTTGGAGACGCGAAGGAATTTAGGAAGATGCCAATTAGGATTTATTATTATTATTATTATTATTATTATTATTATTATTATTATTATTTATCATTAATGTAAATATCACCATTTCCATTTATACATATAAGTCTAAATAAATAAAAAATTGATTTGGTTTAAAAAAAACTGGATTCTTTTTCTTTTAATTTCCAGTTCATTAATCAATTTTTCTGTTGTAAATTTTCTTTGCAAAAAAGAATGAAGGGAGAAACAGATGTTAATGAAAGTAAAAATAAAGTAAAATAATTTTGAAATTTTAGTTCTATTAAAAAAAAGTAGTAAAAATAGCACAATTTACAAAAAAAATATATTAAATAATAATAAATTTTTTTTATTATGATTAACAAGAATTCACCAAAGCCCTTAAAGCTTCCACTACATCACCTTTATTTTCTCTCAAATATTTATCAGCTACAGATCTCGTTACTTCCATTTCATTAATCTGGATGAAAAAAAAGATGATATTAATGTTAAGTAAATAAATAAATAAATAATTTATTCCTTACAATGAATTCAATATCTTCTTTAGAAACTGTTATTTTCTCTAATTCATTTTGTCTATTTGATTTAAAATTAAAATTATAATTTATAATTCATGGATGATTATTTTAATAAACAACAAATAATAAATGAATCGATTAATTAAAAATAATAATTACTTTTGAAGTTTTTGAGCTTTATGTTTTTGATTTTCTGCATTTACAACTGACATGGCCTGAAAAAATATCAATATCAATATCAATATATATATATATATATATATATCATGATAATTGAATAATTATAATTATAATTATAATTATTATCATCATCATTATTATTATGATAATTACATTTCCTAACTTTTCTTCGTCGATTCCTTCACCCTCTTTTTCAGCTACATAACCTTCAACTTTCTGCATGTCTTTTTTAGCTTGACCTTTAAATCCTTTTTGTTGCTCTTGTTGAATCTGTTCTGGATCATTGTTATAATCAGTTTGCTGTTTTTTTTGTTCTGTTGTATGATTGTGAGGATGTGAATTTTGTTGGTTTTGTTGATCTGTTGCTAGGCTACTACTAGCAGTACTATCAGTGGTGGCTTTCTGATGTGTAGTGGTTGTTGAACTACTTGTCGCTTTATTATTTGCATCAGCATTACTTGTATTTGCATTACTAGTGTTGGTATTGGTTGTATTTGAGGAGCCAGAGGTAGATTTGGTTTTCTTTTTTTTATTTGTCATTTTTTATTTTCAAAAAAAAAATTTTTTTTTGAATTTTGATTTTCCCAATATTTTTTGGTAACTTCATCACGTGATTAAGATAAACCAATAAGATTATTTGAGGTGCAGAGGTAATAAACAAAAGCTCAAGTTGATCACATATCGTATTTTAAAGCTTAATGCACACCATCCTGACGTTATTTTAGGTTTATATTTATATTTGATTTTTAATCCAAAGAAAATAAATAGATTTTAGAGATGTTGTGTGTGAAAATGAAATCTATCTGAAATTTCATATCCGAAACACCCCAAAATTTTAATTATAATTTTAGTGGACCTCGATTTAGCAGATACTAATTAAAAATCTTGGTTTTATGGATAAAGTTCAAAGAATGGTTCCATAACAGATAAGGATATCTCGGCTTAACAGATTTTTGGAAAATTTTCCCTAATTGCCCAAACTATCCGTTAAACTGAGATTTACTGTGTAGTAGTTATAAAATAACATGCGGTTCCCCTACTCACTTCTTTCATTTATATTTATAAGATTAATATAAAGGCAATGCCATATCTATTGCCTAAAATATTATTTGTTTCTTGTTAGCAATTAGTTATAAAGGTACAAAGAAATAATAGAGATCATATCTTTTAACATATTCCTTGAAATGTATGGAAACAAAAGAAATTACATATGTATATATTGTACTCAAATAAATTTGATTTGATTTTTTCTTATCATTATGTTAATAAAATCTTTATGTCCGATTCCTTGACAAGTAATTATGAATAATAGTTTCATTTGTTAGCCATGTGTTACTTGAAATGGAGATTGCCTATTACATGAAATAACATTATTTTTTTACATTTATTGGTAACAAAGACTTGTCCATATATTACAAGTTCTGCAATATCTTAATATAAAGAAAATTGTAAAGCTTAATCTGCAGTCATGGCCATTGAAATTAAAACCTAAAAGCTGAACCATTTTGACCTGAGAGGTCAAAAGTCAAATTAAAGTCAAAATAGTTCAAATTACATCATACAACAGGCTGAATACACAGAAAAATTAATATTAATCAAATGCTTTAAATTATCACAACTCAGTTAATATCTGACTTTTTTTTGATAAAATAACTACCATTTGAATTCTCTTGATGAGGGGGAGTCCTAATGAGATGTAATTCATAAAATTTGAAACACTGATTACTGGAATATTTTGGTTTACTGTATATGTTACAATAACTTGCCATTTATTGATGCTATGAACCATTATTTGAATCATCATTATGAGACTACTATAATAAGCTGTATTCCATTAAATTTGGATCAAGATAAATGATTTTGAAATCATTAATTATCCTTTAGAGGTCAAAGTCGAAATTGACCATTTAGACCCCTGGAATTAAATCATTTCAACTTCATGTATTGTGATTTCACTTATCTTATCATATGCAAGGGCATCATTTCTAGAGCTACATTCAATTTCAATTGATTTTCTCTCTCAGAAATGGTTTTACAAATAAATCAGCATTTTTGAATTATATGTTTATTGACAAAAAATTTTGGTAATGCCAAATGCACCAACATGAAATGGTGTTTTGGACTGCATTATTTGCAATTTTAAGTTGTTTGGAAATATCTCTTAACCTTTGTGAGAAACTAAAATTTTCCTTGCATAAATTCTGACAACCCTTCATTTTTTTGGCATTTTCAAAATTTAAAAAAATGGCAAGAATGATGGTTCACTATCAATGTAGATAAGGTTAACAGGGGATAAAAAATGCATAGTTAAATGTCAGTTACAAATGTTGTTTATAGGTCTATGAAAGACAAATATGCATTTTTGAGGAAATTCCTTCATTATTTAAAATAAATATTTAAATATGAGACATCCAGGAAATTCTTCAAGTTCATCTATATCCTTCAAATTATTAAAAGTCAGAAAACTTTTTCACCCAACCTGCTCTCCAAAAGGATTTGTTTACAATTTAGGGTTGATTAATTTGGCCATAACTTTACATCCTTCCTATGATTTTGTTTGAGTAATAGAGTTATGAGGGCATGATGCTTTCCTTCAAGAGGTATGATCAAATGTATAATTTATGTTGGATGATCATTATCCCAAATATTGGATAATAAAATTATTTAATTTATGATAGTAAAGAAAAATAAAATAAATTTTAAAACTAATTGATTGAATGTGGAAACCAAGTTGTGAATCAGAAATTGTATTATGCTAATTTATAAAATTATAAATTTACATTTAAAAATTTAATTATCATTTAATAGATATAAGTTTTATTGACTTTTTCACCAGATGGGAGGATCACTTTATGAGTAATTATTTTAGAGCTCCTGGAATTGGACACAGAAATCTGATTATTGTTGTCATTAATTGTAATTAACTGGTCATCCTGAATATTATCATTATCATTATCATTATCATTATCATTATTACCATTATTATCATCAATGATGTCTTTATGACTAGTATCTACTACAGCTTTAGTATTACTATCACTGTTGGTGCTATTATCATTGTTTAAAATGATTTCAATATTACTAGTATTAAATTCATTGTTATTTTCATTTTCATTATGAGCTTGTTGATTTAATCCTCTGTCTTTTTTATCATCATCAACAACATTATTAACCATTTTATTGGGTTTCTTTTTTCTTCTATATAAAATAAGAATAGAAATAAAAGCAATGAAGAAGATTGCACCAAATGTAAATGATCCAATAATTATGCCTAGTATACTAGTATTTTGTTGATCAGAAGCAACAATGGTGGTAGGTGTATCTGTTGAAGGATTAGTGCTAGTGGTTGTTGTATCTGTTGAAGGATTAGCACTGGTGATGGTTGGTTCATTAATAGTGCTAGTAATGAATTTAGCTGTTGAAGGATCAAATGTGTACAGCCATCTATAATTATATTTGTCACTAATATCTAATAATAAAATATTTTGATAGGGATCACTAGTAATACCTATTATTATTATTAAATGTAAATATAATTAATATAAATAATATATTTATGTATGAATTTCAAAAATTATTATCATAAGTTACCAAATGAGATTATCATGTAATTTTTATATAAATTTGAAGTATGCCACCTATGATCCATATTAATTAGATTAACGGGATAATTAGTAATATTTGTTGGAATTGTCCATTGGAAAGGAGATTTTGTTACATCCAATATTGCTATTTTGTCTGTTGTATTAGTACCACCATACACAATTATCCTTCCATCAGGTGCTAAAAATAAATAAACATAAATTAAAAAATATATTTAATTGAATAATTAATCATAAAGCTAATTAAACTACTTAATACTGAAGAACATCCATATCGTCTAGAAGGTATATCACCAATTGTTGCCTAATGTAACAAAATATTTATTAATATCTTTTTTAGTTGAAAATATTATTACTGACGATTATATAACTTACAAGATTAAGCCATGAATTTTGATTAATGTTATATAAGTACGCCTAAATATAATATGCATTATTAGAAAATATAACATTTTCATTCCTTTTATTTTAATTAAATAATAAAAGAGTGAATTATAATATTACTTTAGTTGTAGAAAGATCAAGGTAAATTATATTCTCATCATTCAACATATGAAAATTGAAGTAATCTATTTTTATTATAGATGGACCACTATTACTTGGTGTTAAGGTTGTAAATATCAAACTCTTGGCATTGAATTTATATATATTTGGATTCTTATCCTTATCAGTGAATATATATGTGTTTCCATTATTATCTTGTGTATATCTTGTTGCATTAACTTTATTTAATTGTAATTGTCCAATGAGGGTTTCTGGAGTCCATGTATCAAATGAATTTGTATTTATTGAATAAACTATAGATCCATATTTTGCAGAACCAGGTACTGTTTTTTCACCTTTATATCCAGCTATAACATAAATTGTGTCATTATTAACATTAACTCCTCCTAATGCTAATGATGCATCTTTAAATGGAGGGATTACTAATTTTGGAACAATTAGTTTTATTGGTAATGTTTGATTAAGTGAAAATGATGTGGATAAATCTAGGTAAATTATTTGGTTTGTATATCCTGAATTATAAGAATAACCTCCAAAATAATATAGTTTATCATTTAACACTATTGAATTTGGACAATTTATATCTAATAATTGACCAGAAACCAAAAAATTGAAACTACATAATATAAATAAATTGAAGATTATTATTAATGACTTTAAATAGTTGTGATGATAATTATCCATTTTTTTAAAAAAATAGAAAAATAGAAAAACTATAGTATTAAAAATAAACCTGCTTTTTATTGCATCGCCTTCAGAATGAATATTCTATATAAGAAAATTTATGTACAAAAATTAAACTTGTTTAATTTCTGGCTGTGAATATTAAAATAGATTAAAATTTTTACATAGCACAAGTATATAATTAATTAATATTGGTTTTGTTATTATCTCCATTATATAGAAAAATCAACATTGGATCTGCTTGTTACTTGAAATGGAGATTGCTTATTACTAATGATGATTAACAATTTATTTAAAATGGCCCTGCTGACGGATTTTTAATTTTATCAAGAAATTACATGAAATATTGGAAAACATATATTACAGTGACTAGACTTTAACGCAGATATTTTGGCCGAACCTTTTAATTATTACTTTATATAAATTATTTTTAATTTCATTAATTTA